ACAGCTTGCTGAAATCCTAATTTCCTCCTATTTCCATCTCCATTTCTTCAGATCTCACTTTCACCTAGACATCTAACACGTTTTCTCAATCTCACCCGCCAGCTTGTCTGTGATTTTGCACTCTATTCTTGCCCGGACTGTCTGAACAGTTCAGCTGTTGCTTTTTTTGGTTTTGAGGACATTCGTTTTCTTGCTGCATAATCTTAAAGGGCCAACTTTAAGCTGCTGCTTATTTAAGGCAAATAAGTCGTAATGCATGTACTTTGATCAGAATCAGAATCTGAATCTTAATCGTTTCACATGACAGCTCAAGGTTTTCTGGTCTAAACGGGTCGAACAGGATGACTGAGCTGTTGTAGCTGTGTACTTGGAGCAAAGGGCTAAGGCTGCTGAAAGTTAATAACGAAAGAGAGGAGTAAGAAAAACTTTGAGCGTGTCTGAATGTCGCTAGTCAAAATGTGACAAATCAGAGACAAAAAATAGAATAAACTGCAATCAAAATGTGCCATGATTAAAGCACTTTAGGACTAAATCGCAACAAATTAAAAAAATTGTAACTTGTTTGTAAAACTGCTGCAAATGATTTGCGCTGATTTGCGGTTGCTTACTTATTTAAATGTGTTGTACCAGTTAGTGTAACAAGTGATAATTTGCATATTTTCATAAAATGTTGTGTCTCCAAGTATTCAGTAACAGTTGCTGCTTAGTAAGATTGTGATGGATTTTTACAAAATAAAAGTGAATTCAATAATTTGGGCAAGTCAACTGTCTTTTGAAGTGATTTAATATTAAAAATACATTTATGAAATAGGAACAAGAATAACACAATTGCATTGTCGCACATTTTCCAGAGTACAACAAACTGAGGAACTTACAGCAGAAGTAATAAGACAAGGATTTCCTGAATTTTCCGTATTCTATCCCACAAGCCAGTTATACAATTAAGCCAAGAATACAATTATTAAGAAACACGGGCTATAATATATATCGTAATGTATATAATTCTTCATCCACAAGATTAAGAAGGGGAGTTGGTCAGTTCTTGGTTTTGCCATTTTGTACTCAATCAGTCATACTCAAAAGCTTACCATTCTGAACCCATGTATTTCTGTATGGCGTTAGGGGTGGACAAAGCCAGGGATGGWAGTTTAGGGTTAGGGTTTGGGTCACATCTAGGTGCCAAAGGTTAAAAATAGGAATTAAGAGACAGTGCTTGGGACAATAAATCATGACTTTTTGATCTACATTTTGTTGCGGTAGTCACTGATTTTCATCCCCAACACCTGAATGAATGAATGAATGAATGAATGAATGAATGAATGAATGAATGAATGAATGAA